CAAATATTGTTTGACTCAAAACATTCACACAAAGTTATCCTTATTCTGAGAATTCTTTACAAAACTAATGTGATTATTTCCTGAACACAAATATTACAAATATTGTTTGACTCAAAACATTCACACAAAGTTATCCTTATTCTGAGAATTCTTTACAAAACTAATGTAATTACTTCCTGAACACAAATATAACAAATATTGTTTGCAATTATTACAAAACCATAAATTAAAGTAGCATAGAAGTAACCAATCCTCTACAAAAAACAAATTTGTGATTATATAAATGACAAGTCAAAGAATAATATCTATTATTAAGGTAAGTTACTATTAACCACATAAAAACAAACTTGTGTTAATAACCCTTGACTGTGACAATAACAAAATATAATTAAAAGTTGAAAACTTATCTATCAAGAAAAAGCAAAGTATATTATTTTATCTAAAGCAATGTTTCCCAAAGTGTGGGTTGAGACCCCACTGAGGTCACAATATGTCTGAAGTTGGGATTGTAAGCAATCCGGAAAACATTTAAATTTTCTTCAAAGTTAACATAAAAAACAGTAATAATTTACACTTTACTTAATAAGAATAAAATTACAACAATACTTCATAAAGCACAAAATTTTAATATCTCTGTGAATCAGGATTTTTTATTACTAGAGCAGCACTAGATAAAAGAGAGTAATCAACTAAAATATGTAGAGCCAGGACTACAAATAACCAATCTAAAACTACACATGGTCGATAAAATAAGCCTATAGCTTACGTTACAAGTATTTAGTCACAATTCTCCTTTCAGCTGATGTGACATAATTTAATAATTCAATGTGTTGTCGTATCCATTTTATTAATGAAAAGTGTTATAAATTATCATTATTACTGTTTTTCATTTGTTTTCTAAGATGGTATTTCTAGAGGTTAAGGTAAAAGGTCATGTCACAAAAAAGTAAGTATCACTGACCCTAAGTGATGGACAATTAAATAAAAATCTAATGGTCAAAGCAGGGTGCACAGAGAAAGCTGGTTTTTAATCAAGGGGATAAACAGACACTGAAAAAAAAGTGAAAATAAGTCAATGATTACGTAAACACTTAGCACAGTAAAAACTGGTTTTTAGTTACTAAGTAAACATTGAGCAAAGTAAAGTTTTTTTTGAGTGAGTGACTATATATAAATTTATTGCCTTATACTTCATTATTTTACTCCGAATATGTTACAAAAACGAAACAAAATCTTTACCAAAAGCAGACTTTGATTCTTCTAACCTTTCCTTATCTGAAGAGTCAATAATGTAGATCACAGCATGAGATTCAGCATAGTACTGGAAAGAAGGATGTACAAACTTTAATAATCATGCAGTTAAAATAATTTTTCTCCAATATTTACTGAACCCCCGAGTATTTTAAAACTCTCAGCTTCAAATTTATACCACAGGAAATTTTATAGAACAGCCAAGAAATGTGAAGTACATTTGTCACCACCTGATATTTGTCAACAGGCCAGTGGAGATTTGACAAACAAAGGACTACTAGACTTCACACAGGCATTATCTGGTAGATACATCACTATTAAGTTTACAGGTTCCCTTCATATAATATCTGCAGACAATTAAAACAAACCTTTGGTATTCACTGGGAGAATTAATGCACGTCATCCGTACGTCCATAATTATAATTCAACTATATTCTTCTGATACACATAATGTAGGCTACACATTTAATACTGTGTGATATAATGTAGGCTACACATTTAATACTGAGTGATATAATGTAGGCTACACATTTAATACTGAGTGATATAATGTAGGATACACAGTTAATAATGAGTGATATAATGTAGGCTACACATTTAATACTGTGTAATATAATATAGGCTACACATTTAATACTGAGTGATATAATGTAGGCTACACATTTAATACTGAGTGATATAATGTAGGCTACACATTTAATACTGAGTGATATAATGTAGGCTACACATTTAATACTGAGTGATATAATGTAGGCT